GGGGGGCCTGCCTCACCCAGCAGACCAGGGAGACGGAGCAGCTTTTCTGGCCCCGGAGGACGCGGGCAGCGGGACCGTAGCGCATCTGGGCGTCCCGCCGCTCCCGTCCTCCGGGGCGAGAAGAGCCCCGTTCGTAACTGCGGATCTGACATAAGTCGGATCCGTGTAACTCGGGGACTGCCTGTAGATGGTTCACGATAGCAGATGAACTGATTAATCAGATTTTCAAAAGAGGCATAGAACGAAGATGTTCTGGATATAGTTGCCTAGGTCAGTGTTTTTCAAGCTCTCTCACATCAGGGACCAACATACTGCCTTCCTAAACTGTGTCAAAGAGTATGTAATGGTCTATGGACTGTTCATTGAGACAGTGGTCTTGGTCATCTCTTTTCATTTTCAAGATATGGGCTACTAGTGGTGGCTCTCAGAGCATCAACAATAACTACAACTAATTAAGTGGCCCATTCTATCATACTAACTGTGAACAATATCTTACCTCCAGAAGTGATCCCATAGATTCAAGGTGGAAGAACTGGAGTCAGAGTCTAAAGACATTTCATCTGATTTGTCATTAAATGCATTTGTGAACCAATCCTAATCAAGTTTCATAACATTAAGTTTGTCTCTGAGCGCATGTCTGATGGAAGAAGCCCAGAAACACAGTACACTTTTGGTAAAAATAAAGCGGTCTCTCCCATTACAACTAAACTAATGTATGAAATAAAAACTTGTTTCTAAAGATGCTAAAAAACCTATGCCAAGTCGTGGCTTCTTGGGTTCTAATTCTCAACAGAAATTCTATAGTACACGTCTCATAAAAGCAAGGTTCAGTGGCTCACAATAGGATTTCTCTGGAATAATTTCAGGAGTTTTATTTTATTTTACTTAGAAGCAAAAAGGAAGTCAGTCAATGTTACAAGTATCTAGGAGATAAATTCATAATGTAGTAGACTGGAAAATTCTGTTTCTCCACTTTATCCCTTATACAGAACAGCTACAGTAGCAGAGGTAACTACACTACAAGATAGCTGATAAAAGGGTGTCTCAAACTGAAACTTTACTACATTATGAGTCATTCTTTGATATGTCTTAGCAAGTCTATGAAATCCCTAGAAGGTACCAATGTTTGTAATGTGATCCCCATGTTCCAAAGGGCTAGACTTAAGACCAACAGTTCACTCATAAGAGGAACTCAGTCTGGGCACTACCCATAATATTTAAAGGATATTTCTGTTTTATGATCCTACCTACCTTTAGCACAAATTTTAAAAGGACATGAGTACAAGTGCTATTCATTCACACTTTCCAATTTACAGGTCATCTGGGGAAGTGCATGTATATGCTAAGGATGTGAAGTAATTAACTAATTGAATTGTCAATGCATTTTTGCATCGACTATTCAATTAGTTGATAGGGCAGAGCTGCCCCCTTTAAAATGCCAAGGCACTGCTGCTTTGAAGTACCCTCCCTTCTATCCCCCCTCCCTTGCTGCCTCTCTGATAGAGGTGGCAAGGGAGAGGGGAAGCAACTAGTCGACTAGTCAATAAGCATTTACTTATCGGATAGTCAACTAATATTCAACATTCCTAGTACATGTACCAGACAGACAGAACAGCTCTGCCAGTCTACAATAAACCTGTATCAGATTTTTTTTTTTAAAGCTTTCCCAGCTCAGTTTTTAATTACGGTTCACAAAGCCATGGAAAAAAACAGAAACAGACTCAGTGTTAAAATACAAATTAGGATCAGTGTTTAAGTTTTACAAACTTTCAAAAGTATCTAACATGGCAATTATCGTCATCCGGTCACCACATTCCCTCCTATTGTTCATTACACACTTGTTTCTCCCTATGTCATGTTAGAATGTAAGCTCTTTGTGCAGAGACAGCATCTTATGCGTTTGTAGTATGTCTCAGTGAAGCTTACAAGCACTGCTGATTATAACACGGTATGAACAGGTCCGACTTTCAATTTCCACATCATTCTCATCAAACCAGTCTTGATGCTTCCTGGACTGGTAGCCAGTGTTTTCTCCACAAGCCCAAATGATGGCATTTTTCAATTGACAGTGTTCTTCAATGTCTTCAGAGTGTACTATCAGCAGCTTCCTTTGGAGCGCTATCTGGAAGTGACTTAGTCTAGTCGGATCCTTCAAGCCTTGTACCTTGATCTTTCATTGGATTAGTTTCTTCTGAGTTCTCTGTTTGCTGGACCAATCACCATCTCATCCAGGCCACAGTGGAGATTAGGATTGTCACCAGTCATCAGTGCTAGTCATTGCATGCGTGAGAAGGACATTGTCATCGTCCACTCTCGGGGTTTGCACAATCTACAAGATGCCAGTGCTTCAATCGAAAATGTGGAACATTTCCCATATCTTGGAAGTCATCTCTCTACCAAGGTCAACATTGACGTGGCAATCCAGCATCGCCTTTTGCCCACCTGAGACAAAGGGTCTTTGAAAACTGGGACATCATTGCCAAGACAAAGCTCCTTGTGTACCGTGCAGTGGTTGTTCCAACACTGCTGTATGCATGTGAAACCTGGCCAACATATAAAGGTCGCCTGAAGGCACTTGAACAATACTGTACCATCAAAACTACCTCAGGAGAATCCTAAATATCCCTTGGGAGGGCAGACACATGAACGCTACCATCCTAGAAGAGTCAAACATGACCAGCATTGAAGCTATCATGCTGGACTGGTCACTTGGTCTGGATGCCTGATCAGCACCTCCCAAAATAGATTCTGTTCTCTGAGCTGAAAGAAGGATGGAGGAGTGTCAGAGCCAGACGAAGCAATATAAGGACATGTTCAAGGCAAACATGAAAAAGTTCAACATCGGTGTTGACACCTGGGAGAACATTCCCAGTCCAGTGGAGAGCAGTAATCTATGAGGAGATGACTCAATTTGAGTTGTCCCATCGCAGTGCAGACAAGGAGAGGCAGAGAAGGAAAAAAAGAGCTGCAAAAACCGCCCTGCATCCCTCCAATAGCCACCGGCCACTGCCCCTTCTGCGATCAACCCGATTCTGGAGCTGCAGGTCTTGTCAGCCATCTATGGATCCACAAATAGGAGGGTGACAGGAAGATGTCCTACTCGTTATCGAGTGACTACAGAGAGAGAAACAGGTCTTGTTTTCTCAGCTGAAAGGATACCGTAATATGGGAGGACAACATAAGTGTTATAAGGACTTGCTAAAGGGTAATTTAAAGAAGCATAACATTGACACTTGCCCAGGATTGTTCAAAATGGAGAGAAGTCCGACACAAAGGCTCTCTGTATTTTGAATTTGCCCACCAACAACCTGAAGAGGAGAAGAGGTACAGGAGGAAGGGGAAACTTGCTTTTAATCATAATCAACAGCCTCCTGCTGTACCTGGAAACATCTGTCTTCACTGTAACAGAATTTGGGTATGTCTATACTACAGAGTTATTTTGAAATAGTTAATTTGAAATAAGTTATTTCGAAATAACGCGTCTACTCAAAGTCCATTTCGAAATAACATTTTGCTATTTCAAAATAGCGCATCCACACGGAGTGGTTGCTGCATCGCATTTAAGGCCGGCTAGAACCAGGTCCAGCAAGGCATCAGGTCAGGAGGTACTTTGTGTAGCTGCTGCCTAAGGCTACCTGCCCTCCCCCCTCCTCCCCCCGGACAACCAGTTCTTTGCTTTCCCTGCTTGCTTGCCTACCTCAATGAGGGACACCAAAGCATTTTGTCTCCGCGTGCTCTGGTTACCCGCACTTGGAACACCACAGCACTCTGCAACATGGAGCCAGAGCTGCGCCGGGCACTCTGGTGCTTCTCGTGGACACGTTGCTGCAAGCCGGGCTGCACTTTCTGCAGGCTGCCATCCGGGAGGTCCATCGGGGGACTGTCAGTATGCAGGAGGCCCTGCAGGAGAGCTTCCACCCTGAGGAGCACTAAGAGCCTCCCTGGTCTACCCCACTGGGGGGCTTGTGCCTCATTCCTCCCTCATGTTCTTCCACTTACCCCTCCCTAATGTCAAATAAGATACATGTATTTTCATGAACACAAACTCTCTTTAACAAAACTGGGGTGGGGAGGAACAAAACTCTGGTGAGACTGAGGAAAGGAGACGGGAGAGAGGAGAAGAGAGGGTAGGAGAGGGCAGGGGGAAACCTGGGAGAAGGGAGCTGGAAGGGGGAAAATGAAGCTCAGGGATCTGTGTCTTAGTGGGGGCATCTGTGTAGTAGGGGAGTGGAGGTTGGTAGGGTGAGGTTCTGGGTGGAGCCAGTTGGCAATCAGTGGTGTGAGGGTCTCAATGTGGTGCAGGGGGTTGGGTATGAGGATGGAGGTTTGAGTGCAGATCTGGGGGTCCTGAGGCAGCAGGTCTGGGTGCAGAGAGGCTCCAGATACAGAGATTGAGGTTCAGATGGGTGGGGTTAGGAATGGAGGGCTAGGTGGGATTGTGGATGTACCATGTAGGCTTAGCAGTGGAGTGTGGGTATGGGATGACCTGCATATATAGGGGTTGGGTGGATGGGGGAGCAGCTTCCCATACAATGAGCCCTCCTCTCAGAGCTGAGGAGCAGTGGGGATGGGCAGCAGAAGAGGATGCTGAGCTTCCTGCAGCTGAGGGAGGTTTCTGGGCATGGGTCTGGACACAGGCACTGTGGCCAGAGTCAACCCTTTAAAGGCTTCAGGGAGGGGGGAGGGAGAGGAGTGTTCTTGGTTGAGGCTGGAGTGGCCACCAGGGCACCCTGGGAAGGCTAGAGGCCCCCTATTTCATTATAAGTGTTTACACAGCACTTATTTCAAAATAGCTATTTCAAATTTGGCCTTATTCCTCCTGGAATGAGGTTTACCAAATTCAAAATAAGCACTCTGCTATTTCGAATTAATTTTGAAATAGCGGTTTGGCTGTGTAGATGCTAGTAAAGTTATTTTGAAATAACTTTGCTGTGTAGACATACCCCTTGTGATTCAAGGATTGGCTTTATCCGCCACCTGAGGGCTCAATTCCTATGGAAGATCATCATATTTGGCAATGAGTGATTGCCATCACATCTTAGATTAGAACAGAGGCACTCTATAAAGAGTATGTCTATTTATCACCTTTTTTGAAATCAGGTTCCTCCCACCCAGTTCCAGTAAAAGAAGTTGTACATGCTCATGAAAAAATATTTTTCTAGTACAATACTATGTAGACCATCAACCCAAATAGCACTGTTTTTCCACAGTGGGAGTGACAAGAAATAGTGAGATATAGAACAGTCTTGATGTACAGCATACAATGGATCACTTACTGCTTCAGGTATTCTTTCAGAAACCTTTAGCTTTGAATGGATTATGCTATTCCCCACAGATCGGCCCTTTCTCCTTCATTAAACTGCAGGTAATAAACACTTCTTTCAACTTAGTGTTTCAATAAAATGCCATAAGTTCTGTAATTTCTCACATCCTTTTACATAGTTCACATTAGTGAGCTGTGAAACATTCCCCCACCGCATTTCATGCTTATATACCATATTGGCAAAAGGGCAATGCCTCTTTGCTTGAGGATCTCTTGGGTCCAGTCAGTACATGGGATAGCAAGATATGAGATTTCAAAGCAGATAGAGTAGCTGGAGGCTAAGAGGCAGCTACATAATATATCAGATGCAGCCTTATAAAGAAGTACCAGACAGAGATACCCTAGAAAGAGCTAGTAGTACAGCCGATAGCTAAAGTTGCCTGAAGCTTTGCATTGCAAGACTGAGTTTCCAGTTGCTCATAACTTTGCCCAACTTAACCCTTCATGCTTGGTATCTGC